ATTTCTCACCCTTACCTCGATTAATCGGAGCTTTGATGTTGGTTCTTGATGATTTTTCCACTTTTCCTCTTCTTCTCCTCTCTTTCTCTTCTTTCTTCTTTCTTTCCAAATGTTTTCTATCTTTCTTTTCTTTTCTTTCTCTCTTATATATTTCCTTCATTTTCCTTCCTCTCCAATTCCTTCTCAATTCTCTATTAATTCCAATTAATAAAAATTAATTCCAACATTAAATAAAATCCCACTAAATCAATTAATTATTTAATGAAATTTGGGCTGTTACAATAGGCGTCCTTGGGACATGCCCAATTGAGATTCGTATAGTCAACACACATGCTTCATTTTCCATTATTCTTTTTTACTAATATAATGTTGGACAGCCAGGTTGAATACTGGGCTTCCGAAATAAAATTCTCCTCTAGGAGGTCTTTTACAGCTCTTTCAACAACCATCGACTTTTCGGGGGACTGCCTACGCCTATGTTCTACTACGGCTTTCGTGGCTGGGTCGATGGAGAGCTGATGGCAGGCGACCTCGAGGTCAAGACCAGGCATCTCGGTGGTGCTTCAGGTAAAGAGGTCAGCATTCTCACGAAGACAAGCCTTCAGCTGCTTCTTTGCCAAGTCGGACATGCCAGCTCTAATCTTCACGTTCCTGGTTGCATCCTCACCGAGGGCTATGAGCTCGAAGTCTCCGTCTGGAATGGGGTGCATTGGGTGAAAAAGTTGTTCGTTGACCGTTGGAGGAGCGTGCTCGACTTCCGCTTCTTGATCCTGCTCGTCGGGGAAGCGGTAGTCGAGGTCCACGTCATCGACGTGGTCATTTGGCCTGCGCTCTTGGATGGGTGGAGACTTCTTGATCACCTTGGGAGAGGGGCCGATCGTGTTAAGGCCCTCCATTACTGCCTCAAAACATTGTTGAGTTGCCTTTATGTCGCCGTTGAGGGTGACAACACCTCCACGCCTGGTGTAATACTTCATCTTAAAGTGGACCGTTGATGGCACTGCGGTAAGGTCAGTCAGGGTCGTCTTGCCTAAGATGCAGTTTTATAGTGATGGGAACTCGATTACCAGGAAACGAATGTTGATCTCCCTGGCCGTCTCGTTTGTCCCAAAGGTGACTTAAAGTTCCACATATCCCCATGGTCTCGTCGTCATCCCGTTGAACCCTTGGAGGTTGGAGCTGACGTAACGATTTAGATTGGTCTCATCGATCTGCAACGTCGAGAACAGGTGGGTATACATGATATCCACCGAGCTTCCCCCGTCACCCAGGATACAGCGGACGGCAAATTTTTCCATCTGTGTCTGGATCAGTAGGGGGATGGCGGCGTTAGGGGCTCCCCCAGGCAGCTCCTCGAGATAATATGTGATTGGGTTAGACCGACTGTGGAATTTGTCGAGGGTGCTCATCTGGATGGAGCTATTGCTCATCATCTCATCAAGCTTCCTCTATACGGATCTGATAGAGAGCTTGCTTGGGGCCCCGCCTGATATGACCATCGCGGTGGGGAAGTATTCCCATGGGCTGACGGAGCGTATTGGTTCTCCGGGAAGCTGGTGCCCGGTAGGAAGGTTGTGTCCTCTTAGGGAGAACAAGTCTTCAGGACGACTTATACTGAGGGACACCTGCAACCCTGTGTCGCTGGCGGGCAGAGGAATGTCCTCGACTCTTTTGGCCTCGTGGGTCTCCTGTCGAGGGGCATCTCCTCCCCCGGTGTACCTCTTCAAGTACCCATCCTTGATGAGTATCTCAATTGCATCCTTGAGATGGATGCAATCCTCAGTGACATGTCCATGGCCGCGGTAGAAGCGGAAGTATTTGGACTTGTCCACGTTGGCTTTGGGAGGTGCCGGTTTAAGGAAACAGACACCTCCTCTTACAAACTCTGAATTGGCGCACTCTGCCAAGATGCGCTCGCGGGAAGTGATGAGGTTCGTGTACTCAGTGAACAGGCCTGTGGGTCCCCTCTGCTCTCGGGGCTCCCGGAGACGATCATCTCGTCGCCGATCTCCCCCACGCCGGGGGGCTGATGCTTCTTCTTCCTGAGCTCCACGAGCAGCTTCGCGGTTACGGGAGTCTCGGGCTGAATTGGAAGCTTCGGTCTCCTTGTACTAAATGTATGCTCGGGCTTTCTCGAGGAAGGCCTGGAGGGATGTTGGCCGGTGGATTTCCACGGCCTCGTAAAATTTGGAGTCGTGGCGCAGACCTTGCTCCATGAGGTAACAATTCATGTCGTCTAAAGTAGTTACCTGGACCACCTCCGTCGTGAATCTCTCGATGTAGTTCCTAAGAGATTCGTCCCGGGCTTGGGTGATCGCGCCCAGGGAAACTTCTGTCTTTGGATGACGTCGGGATACTGTGAAATGTTGTGAGAAAAGATCCTTCAGCACCCTCCACGAAGTGATGGACTCGGGCTCCAGGCTTTTGTAACATGTCATGGCTCCCTTCCTCAGAGTCGTCGGGAAGAGCCTGCACTTGATGGATCCTCGGACGTTCCGGTAGTCGAGCATGGCTTCGATGTCTTCTAGATGGTCATCTGGGTCCGTCGTGCAATCATAGGTGGAGAGTGCGGGCACCTTCTCCATCCCGTGGAGGATGGGGGTCTCCATGATTTCTCGCGACAAGGGATTCCGATGATTGTCCTCGTCACCGCGGATGGGGGAGCACAAGGGGGAAGGATTATGTCGAGGTACTTGACCGCGACCCTTCGTCCTCTTACTCTGACCGTCAGGTCTATTCTTCCTCGGAGCCGAGGAGCATCTCTCCTTCCGGGGAGGTGACTGGTCGCGCTTCTTCGACGCCACGGGTTGGGGCCTCTCCAGTTGTGTTGGCGCCCTCGTTGACGGGGAGAGGAGTTATAGGAATCTTTGCGTTGGGTTTCCCGCGTGGAGGGGGGGACGAGATGAGTGATCCTACTCTAGCATCCCAATACACTCGTTCTGCTGGAATAACATCAAATTAGTCTGGTTGATGCCTGCGAAGAGGACCGTCATCGTCGGATCCGCCCCTGCTGGTGTGGGGATAGGCTGAAAAACGGCTAGGCTCCTTGCTTGAAGGGCAACGTGGCGTGTCGCATCGTCGGATGAAGGATAGGCAGTCTGCCCGTCCCTCACTTCACCGTCATGGTTGTTGACGGGCCCACCCTGGTCTTCACCGTTGGTGAGTGGGTCGAAGGAGGAATTGTGGACAACATCGTCGTGGCATGGACTGGTCATGATCTCAAAGTTGATGAAAGTTTTGGTTCTATTGCTCGGAAGAACGGGGGAGCTTTTCGGTTCCCACAAACGGCGCCATTGATCGTACCTAATCAAAAGAGATCGCTGGTCTGCCACGCGTCGTTGACTGGTAACTGTCACCGGAGGTAGGGAGAAGGAGGGGGTGTACCTGTAAGGCACTCTGATGTTTAAGTGAGTAAAGGGTCAGAGTGGGAGAGAAAATACAGAAAATAGGTGTAGAATGGAATACCTGACCCTCTAGTGAAAGATGGTATTTATAGAGAGACCCCAACATAGGACCAATGGGTACTTGGATTGGGTCGGATTGCCAGGCCTAACCCAAGCAACTGGTAGGGCTTACGTGGCGTAGTGAAGACCAGCACATGGTCTTCTCCCTAGATCAACTGTCACGTGATCTCCAAAAGGTGGACTGCCAGCTCTTTCGAAGGTGGATAGTTGCCTGATGACGTGTTCCCGCGTGGGAAAAACGTGTGGGTTTGCCCAACGAGGGAATTGTCTGTCCGACATATGTGGATTTGTGCCCGACGTGAGAGAATTGGACCTCATTGGACCTTTCCAACATAGTGTTGGGCTGGGCCTACCCGACGGATAGACATGTCCCGACCCAGTCCAGAACAACTTTTTAATATCGTCACCCTAAAAATTAGACTAAATACAATTCACCATCTAAAAATATAAGTAATATTAATATTCTACTTTACTTTTATTATAAAGTGTTACACAAGATAAATATTTGTCAGTATAAATTATATAAAATTAAAAACAAATAATAATATTGACATAAAAATGAATACAATTGTGATATATTAACTATAATTTTTCAAACTTCATTTTTTATTTTTTAATTATAAAAAATAAGTCACTAAAGAAGTCATTAACATTTACAATTCATATATTGAATGAGTATTACTGAAAAATTACTTGACATATATTTTCATTGAGTAATGTCAACAAAAAAAACTAGATAAATTGTCTTTAATAAAAAATAAATATAAATTGAGGCAAATATTTGTAAGTTAGTCCAAATAATTTAGTGCATGTTTTAAAAACAAAATTAGAATGATCATATATAATCATTAAACAAAATTATGTTTAAAATGTATAATCATTTAATGACAAATAATATATTTTATTATGTTTTTTTTATAATTTTATTTTGTGTAAATTTTATATTATATTTATTTAATTAATGAAATATATTGGTTATTGCAAATTTTACAAAATTTAATATAATAATATCAATTACAAAAAGGTATATTAAGTTTTATAGAAAACAAAGAGACTATTATGTTAAATGAATTCAAAAAGGTATATTAATAATTTGTTTTCTAGAAACTTTTAAACTATAAACTTTTTTATTGATTTATAAAAAAATACATTGCTAAAAAGTATCTTAAAAAACAAAGTATTAATATTTTTTTTTGACCAATACACATTTTTAAATGGAAAATTTATATTTTTAATGTTACCATTGAAAGCAAAGTCAATGAACCATTTGAATTGAGTAAAAAAAGAAAATCATTTTAATAATAATAATAATAATGATAATAATAATAATTATTATTATTATAATCTTATTGTATTTATCTAAAAAAATATATTAAAAAAATAAATAATAATATTAATAATGATGTAATTGGTCAAACTAAATTAAGTTTACTTCAATAGTATTTTATATATTGTCATTATATATAATTCAACATTAGTCAAGAACAATACAATCCACATAATAAAATATAGTGGAAAAAAAAAAGAAAAGAAAAAATGGATAGCGAGAGTGGAATTCCAATTTTAGATTTTGGTAAGAACAACAGAATTATATTAGAAGAAGGAAGTGAAGGATGGAAAAAAATGAGTAAGAAAGTAAGAGAAGCATTTGAGAATCACGGGGCTTTTCTCTTAAGGTGGGATGAAATATCGAATGAATTACATGAAGAAATGTTTAGAGGCATGAAATCTTTGTTTGAACTACCAGAAGAGACAAAGTTGAAGTTCTCTAGCCCAAAAACTTATAGGGGTTACACGTCCAAAAATCATGTCATTCCTCATTGTCAAAGCTTTGGGATTGAAGATGCTTTTCAACCAAATAGGACTCAAAACTTCACTAATCTCATGTGGTCAGAAGGAAATCCAATTTTTTGGTAACTAATTATTTTATTTTATTATTATATTAATTTTATATTTATTAAATATATTTTACTTTAGTAATTTTGTTTTAGATATTTTATTCTATGTGTCGCTACTGCGAAAATCGGCGTCGGCTAAACAGAAGAGTCGTCACCGTGCGTTATTTATCCCAAAGGAGGGAAAGGAAACGCTCGAAGTAAACCTACTGCAAAGACGGGAAAGGAATGGTCATCGCAACCAAATCCTGGATTCGGGAGTCGGTTACGCAAGGGGAAGGTATTAGCACCCATCACGTCCATCGTACTCGATGGGATCCACGCTTGTTTTCTGTCGAAAGGATTGTTATTCTATCTACGCTAAAGGTATGGGGTTAAAAGAAAAGAAAATTACTCGGCAAAATATCACACTTTATGCCTACGTATTCTCGTCTGGAACGAGAAATCAGAGTCAACGTAGTTCGCCTACCTACGGGAAAGGAGGGGAAGGTTGCTCGCTAGGATATCGCATCATATGCCTACGTACTTTCATACAGCATGAAAGATCAGAGCAAACGTAGTTCGGGCCACGTACGACACAAGTCTGTCTTGATTGTTTTTATCCTTCTGAAAAAGGTTTTCTCCTGATTATGGGTCCAAGCGGACAAAAATGACTCTTTGATTGGTTTACAGTCTTTTACTCAAGAACTGTTTTTTTATTGATGTTTAACCTTTTATTGTATTTTTTGATTGTTTCCGAGATAGAAGAGAAACAACAACTCTAAAACCTATGGTTGAAAAGGGAATCCAAATCTACCCTAATGTTGTCATGCATGGATGAAAGCCTAATGTGTAACAGCCCAATTTCGGTTTAACTAATTAATTTAGTTATTGGAATTATTTTAATTATGGGATAGTGTGATAATATGTTAAGTCTACATATTATGCTATTTTATCATTTGTAGAGTTTTGGAAAGTTTAGTGGGAAATATTTCGGACAGTCTCAATTAATGGTTAAGTGGATGGTTTATGGAAATTGATTGGAATAATAGGTGTATTAGAGGAAATAGAAATAGAAAGAAAAGATATAAGAGAAAAAGAGGAAAATAGAAGGGAAAGAGAGAGATAGTGAGAAAGGGAGGAAAGAAAAGAGAAAGAAAGAAGGAGAAGAGAAAAAGAGGAGAAAGAAGAGGAAACTTCGAAAATCATCAAGATCAACCAAAGCTTGCAATTAATCAGGTAAGGGTGAGAATGTTTATCATCTTAATAATGTATAAGGTCATATATGTGCTAGATTGGAATCGTTTGGTAGTTTTCCATACTTTCCATTTTTAGGTCGAAGTTGGATTAATCGATAGAAATCGTTATTTAACGGTTAGAATCGTGTTTAGATACCGTATATTATTCGATATATGTTAGGCTAAGGCTATTGGAATAACATCGGATTTAATCGGGTGATTTCAGTGAGTTTGGAAGAGTTGGAGCAGAGCTGAATATTGTTGTTCGCAGGCGACTCGCTAGCAGTTCGCTAGGCGAGCACGCAGCGAACGTTCGCTAGCAGCTCGCTAGGTGAGCGTATAGCGAACGGTCCCAGACTTGGGACAGTGGTGTTTTGGTCTCCTTCGCTAGCCGCGAATGGAGTAGCGAATGACTCGCTGGGGGTTCGCTGTGGCGAACGAGGTAGCAAACGAAGTCTGTAGCTTCTGTTCTTGCTCGCTAGCAGTTAGCTAGGCGAGAAGGTGGCGAACGTTCGCTAGCAGCTCGCTAGGTGAGCGTGTAGCGAACGTAACAGGATAAATTTTCCCTGTCGCGTGATGCCGTCGTGGCTTGGGGTTTCGGTTGCGATCGACCCTTCTTTGATTCAATAGCTTATATGCTGGTTTGTGATGTGTTGTGGGTAGCCGTAAGGCGTGAATCCTAGTGCATGATAATTGTACGTGTTGATGTGTGAAGAATGCATGATAATATATTTGCGAATATGTATGCATTTGTGATATTTGATCCCGTGTAGGATCTGCAGAACCTCGCTTGATGCGATGGTTATATTTGATCCCGTGTAGGATCTGCAGAACCTCGCTTGATGCGATGGTTATATTTGATCCCGTGTAGGATCTGCAGAACCTCGCTTGATGCGATGGTTATATTTGATCCCGTGTAGGATCTACAGAACCTCGCTTGATGCGATGGTTATATTTGATCCCGTGTAGGATCTGCAGAACCTCGCTTGATGCGATGGTTATATTTGATCCCATGTAGGATCTGCAGAACCTCGCTTGATGTGATGGTTATATTTGATCCCGTGTAGGATCTGCAGAACCTCGTTTGATGCGATGGTTATATTTGATCCCGTGTAGGATCTGCAGAACCTCGCTTGATGCGATGGTTATATTTGATCCCGTGTAGGATCTGCAGAACCTCGCTTGATGCGATGGTTATATTTGATCCCATGTAGGATCTGCAGAACCTCGCTTGATGCGATGGTTATATTTGATCCCGTGTAGGATCTGCAGAACCTCGCTTGATGTGATGGTTATATTTGATCCCGTGTAGGATCTGCAGAACCTCGCTTGATGCGATGGTTATATTTGATCCCGTGTAGGATCTGCAGAACCTCTCTTGATGTGATGGTTATATTTGATCCCGTGTAGGATCTGCAGAACCTCGCTTGATGCGATGGTTATATTTGATCCCGTGTAGGATCTGCAGAACCTCGCTTGATGCGATGGTTATATTTGATCCCGTGTAGGATCTGCAGAACTTTGCTTGATGCGATGGTTATATTTGATCCCGTGTAGGATCTGCAGAACCTCGCTTGATGTGATGGTTATATTTTATCCCGTGTAGGATCTGCAGAACCTCGCTTGATGCAATGGTTATATTTGATCCCGTGTAGGATCTGCAGAACCTCGCTTGATGCGATGGTTATATTTGATCCCGTGTAGGATCTGCAGAACCTCACTTGATGCGATGGTTATATTTGATCCCGTGTAGGATCTGCAGAACCTCGCTTGATGCGATGGTTATATTTGATCCCGTGTAGGATCTGCAGAACCTCGCTTGATGCGATGGCTATATTTGATCCCGTGTAGGATCTGCAGAACCTCGTGTGCCCATGTGGGGTGTGAGCGATGGCTATATTTGATCCCTTGGAGGATTTGCAGAACCTCGCTTGATGCGATGGTTATATAGTGATTCCTAGAGAAATCTGATGAGTTATAGTGTAACCGTATAAGTGCGAGAGAAGTGAGTTCTAAGGGAATCTGACGGACGAATGAGTCGGTACCGTGGTTGTAGCTGCATAGGGTCGAGGTGTCGGTCTCTATGAGTGCATTATCATCTTCAAATGATGAATTGAAAATAATGCATTGAGAATGTATTAGTGTATGTATATATATATATATATATATATATATATATATATATATATATATATATATATATATATATATATATATATATATATATATATATATATATATATATATATATATATATATATATATATATATATATATATATATATATATATATTGCGTCTGGTAAATATGAGAATGAGGTTGATGTATATGTAGAGAGATTCTACTCACTAGGGTAGAACGGCGATGCGTCATTCCTAGTGAGGTAGTTACCGGGGTAGAATGTCCGAGACGTTGTTCCCGGTAGAGCATAAGCGACGTACCCATAGTCCGAAAAGAGGATTGAGGGTAGTGAATGAGTCTTATATGGATCGCATGGTATGATCGCGATTGTCATATGTAAATATGCCTATGTGCAGGAATTGATGAGATGCGTTAGCAAATAAATAAATGTGAAAGATATTGACCGATGAATAGACGGTTAAGTGTGAGCGATTATGTCTATGTGTATTTGATGCGGTGAGAATCTATGGTTATGCATTGTAGTGAATAACTATGAGGTATAGGCATTCGATACTTGTACATATATATATATATATATATATATATATATATATATATATATATATATATATATATATATATATATATATATATATATATATATATATATCTTATGCCTTGATTATTATGATAATGTTTCTCACCCTTCTGTTGTTTTATAATGCCCTACGAGGCATTGCAGATTAGGATTCGCTGGAGGTTTCCTTTGGAGTATAGTTCCTTTCCCTCGTGTCGGTCGCTCTGATATGTAACTTTGGGTAGATAGGCTTTTAGAATGTCTTAATGATGTTTTGTTTGTATGTGATTGAAGTTGTGAACAACCAGATGACATGTAATTACGTTTTGTCATGTCTTAAGTGAATATATATATGTTTTAGTCTTCCGCTTTAAGAGAAAATATGAATATGTAATTTCGAAGAATCATGCGTTTATTTTTAGTTGAGATTTACCCCTTTTGAGTTAATTCTTTTTAAACATTAATATTCATGTGGCCGTTTCGTGAGTATTGTGACGCACTTCTTTTATACCTTAATGTAAATACACTCTGATGAAAATAAAAACACTTGTATTCGTGACTATATGATTTGATATGTGATTATTTTGGGGTATAGAAAGGGGGCGTTACATAATGTCTGTCATATTTCTCTCTTGCACAGAGAGGAACAGAGATCCTAAGGGGATAAACGGAAAAGCAACGGCATATATACAGTAAAGCAGTGAAATGCATGAATGCAACAGTACAAGCGAGGCAAGAGAGTCCCACTCAACCTCGAATCTAGAAAATAATGGGCAAAGTGAAACAACTTCACTTCAACCCTATGGGAAAATTAACAAACAATACAGCAAAGAAAATAAAACCCCAAAAACCCAGCCTTGACAGCCCACCGGCTCCAGTTGAACTTCCAAAATTAAACTCCAATGGTACCCCAAGCTACAACAAGCTTCCATCTCCAAGAAATCACCCAGCTCAAGCAAGCACAGAACCTTAACCAGTTGATAGCATCAGACAACAGATAACCTCAGACAGCAATAAACCCTAGCTTTAACAGTTGCACAGCTTTGACATGAACAATCTTCATCTTTGTCAATCTTTGATCTTCATCCCTATCTTCAATGGCTTCTT